TTTACTGGTTTGGGATCGATTCTTTCTTTTGGCGGTACATCATACTTCACCTCCTTTCTTCTAAATTGTCGTTGAACATAACGACAGGCCTTCACATGGTAGAAGTGCCCACTGTCATCACAGTACAGTAGTGTCTGTTGATGGGGAACAACTAAGCATGAATATATATGTTGCAGGTCAAAATGAAAATCAGGTTAAAATGAATCTTAACCCTAATTACTCATGGATCATGAATAAGTAGGGTTAGAAGACAAAGGAAATTGCGCATCAAATGAGGTTAAAATCATTTTAACCTGAATTTTATTTTGACCTACAACACATCCCCCTGCCTTAACCCAAAATGGATGGAACAACACATTTAACATTAAGATAGTATTTTTAAGCATGAAAACAGGGATGAAATGTCCACCCGGCCATGGTGACTAGACTATGAACTGCAATTTGGACAACCTTTTGCCTGTATTTCCACATTCCAACCTGTTTTAGTTTAGATGCAGACAGAACTATGTACCTCTACATTTATTAGAGCCAAGTATTTTGTTTTCAATCAATCGGTAATTGAGCATTAATATTTTTCTTCCAAACATTTAAACATGTTGCATAAAATGGTGCATAAATACGAATAAAAATACTTTACACATCATAAACTTTGTGTCAAAGTTTCCAAACAAAGGATTTTTCAAATGAATGTGAGAATAGATACATTTTTCATTATACAAATATTTGCACCATATTGGCCATATTAATTAAGACAAAACGCTTTTTTAAGGTAGCACCTCTTGATTATAAAACTAGCATAAAATAAATAATTTAAAAAGTAATTTGAATTTGCATCAGGAACTGCAAGTCAACAAGATTAGTGCAAAGTGTTATGAATGCACATAAAATTTAAAGTTCCATATATTTGCATGGTGTGCTTGCAAGGTGTAACTATGTGGCACTAGTTCAGAGCTCATTCTCACAAGCCCAAGAAAAACATTTTATAAGCATTATCTGTCTCCATAATCTGTAATTTGAATGTCCTAAAAATATTTTCCCCAAAAAATTCACTTGCCTTCCAGGCAAGCACGAGAGTATTCACTCGTTTAATGTTAATTGAAAAAAGCTTATCTAGCACTGGGCTATCGGACACGACTTTTTTTTGCATGCTAAATGCTGTTTCTACTTTATTTTAAGTTCCAATTGGTACATTGGTTCATTTGAATTAGATTTAATTTTTTGCTTTACACTTAAATATGCGTATTTTGTACCCAAAAAATAAATATCAAATACAGTTTAATACAAGACTAGATATTAATTAATGAATACTTACATTTCCTAGCAAACAGTTTGCTACTACTACATCAGCAAGTGTCACAAAAGCATATGTCTAGAAGAAAAGAATTAAGGTGTTAACAGAGACATGTACTGTAGGCCAGGGTGCATGTACTTTTACTTACCCTACGAGGATACAAAATATCACCAAAATAACTTAACTAAAACTACATCTCCACATAAATGCGACAGTTATTTAAAATAATGTCTAAATGCAGGACTTTGAACATAATTTTATCATTTGAGTAACCTACATTTTATTGTACAGGGTGCTTGGTAAGGGGTTAAGCTCTTGCAACACTGTATTATCTCATTAAGAAAATTCCTTCTTCCTCTTTTGTGGTTTTTTCTACATTGGCTAATTTTACAAAGCAGGGAATGGGTAGAAAAACAATTCTTAACTAAGTTTCATAAATTGTAAAACCAAACATCTGAAGATGTCAGAAGTTACCTTTGTAGAGGGAATGCTAACTTTTGTGACTGCACCAGGA